CTGTCTTCAGAAGTAGAACTATAGTCAAACCCAATCTGTCACTTTCACTCTCGCATAAAAAAACAATCATCACCATATCCTGTGTACCTGTCTGGGAATGAGATGTGTGGTTTAATTTGTCTGCATGTTTTAGCCTTTAGCTTTCATTGTTTAGGTGCTTGCACGGTACCTGGAGGAATGCTGTTTGATTTCTTTCTAGAGCATGAGCAAAACCTGAGTTAATGTGCAACACAACTGTAGCCTAAAGATGAACACACAACTGGAAATATTTCTGACTCATCGTTTGCACTGCATTATTTTTAAATCAGGACACAGCAACAGCTTGATTGATTGACAGAAATTAAATGTTTGTACGGCGTAAGGTCGAGCTGGGCCCTTTAGAGAGGAAGGAACAAAAATCCTCTGAAAAATTTCCTCAGAAATGTCTGCAACATCAACAAAGCATGAGGCATCCTGGAAGCTGATTTAGCCAGTGAAAAACCCCGAAAATGTCAAATATGAAAAGATCAAATGTAGAAAAATAATAAAATCATACAGATGGTGCAGTTACAAAAGAACCAGATCTAAAATTGGAATAACACTAAAGGTTAAGATAAATGTATTTATTTTTGGGGCCTTTAAGTAACTTAGTTTCCAAACTATCTAGAATTTAAGACCTACATATTTCTCTTTCAGGCTGTATACAAACAGTAATTAGTACCAGTCAGTTGTGAGAACTTCAAGAGTCAAGCTTTCATGAGTCATTACTGATTTGTTTACATCCAAAATTCCTGATAGAAGTAATGTTGCTCACTGGCATCATGAAATGAATGACTATCTAACCATGTGTCTCAATCTAAAGGCGAGTCTTTGGTTGTGTGCTTTGGCCTTAGGTGGTCTGGCTTTGGTTTTTATTCTGAATGTTCTTAAATGTGTCTTTAAATCAGATTTGGAAAAATGAACAGTTAACGTAATTTCAAACACCAGATTTATGATTTTACAGATGTGCAGCGAGCATCTCTGAGCTCTGCGGGGAGCTAGTCAAGGACCCCTGTCTAATGCACTTACTCGTTTAGCTTGTAGATCTTCTCGGAGAAGAAAACTTCATCGAGCAGTTTGTGGATGTTGCGTCTCTCTGCTGCTAACAGCACTCCATCATTAGCAAGGATTCCCAGACATGTTCCGGCGTGGCCAATCGCTTCCATTGCATATTCCACCTGGTACAGGCGACCTGTGAGGTATAAGCAAAACGTTGAGATATTTGCTATCTGTAAATAATTAAAGCAAAAAAACAACAACAAAAGCTAGTTAGTGTTCAGTGTTAGTGTAGAGTTTTTCTTTAACATTCACTGATGAGGACCAGTAGTTCTTTCAGTGGGTAAAGTGAAGGTTAGCAGTTTGAGCCTTTATCTTTATTTTATAGACAGTTGTAATGTTGCATTAGGTGAAAACTGCATGAGGCAATAGAAATACGGATTTGTTGTATTAAATGTGTCTGTGCTAGTAAAATAAATACAGATACTGTTTGTTTATACCTCTGATTGTTACATGTTAAGTAAAAAAAACAAAAAAAACACTTACCTTCAGGGGAAAATATAGTTGTCCGGGAGTCATACCTGCGAGACTAAACAAAGACAACAAACAAGTGACAAGTCATGAAACTTTCACACATAAAAACATAGCTCTTAATAATTCTGGTATAAAGGTAAGGTTGCCACTAACCATTTTCCTACGTCACGGGGTAAATTCTGAAACAGAAAATATAAAACATCAGCATCTGAATCCAGAGCAAACAGCTATTACCAAGATCCAAACAACAAGATGAAATACGCTCAATTACCGTACTAAAATAACCTATATTAGATATAAACAAATCATTATATAATACTTAAACAAGAGCTAACTACAAAGTAGGTTATAGAGAACCATTTTGGAAACAGTTTTGCTGATAAAGTGACCCCTTTCTGATATTCCCTTAGCAGCTAGCTGTCGTAGCTAGCAGCTGCACCAGAATGAATCTGCAATATCGCAGCGTGCTAGCTGGCTAGCATGCTATGCTATGCTAGCTACAAACTCCTGGAGAGCAAAGTTTCCCGTTTGGAACGTGACAAATTTGAGCTACTTTGTAAAACTACGTTGAGGTACATATACGCTTCTAAAAAGGAAAGTATTGACTTCTTATTACCTCAGAAGGAAGGATCTCAGTTGTCGTACTTTTGCTCCGACTGAGAGGTTCGCTTTCAGTTTGATGTTTCCTCGCACACCGGCCGGCGTCCCCCTCCGGTGGAAGCCGCTCACTAGCGCCCCCTGTCGGCGGGAGGGGAGACACCGAATTCAAAATGGCGGTTTCGGCAGTTTTTTTCTCCTTTATTTATTTTACAATACATAAAGGTACCAATCAACATTTACAATGAACATTTTTATAAGAAGGGGCGATGTATAATAAACATATAAAGTAATATCCAAGATCGAATACAATGACAGAAAAAATTAAATAAAACGGTTTTGGCAGTTGGTTTCAGGTCCCTTCCAGAGTCCATGATCCTAATGCATTAACAAACTTTTTCTTTTCAAATGTAATGTTTTCTTATAATCTGCACCGATATTAACAACGTTAAACACATATGTAAATCCATTATATCCATATCTACCACAAAAAGAGGGCCCTAAAAAGTCTAGTCCTGAAATTGCAACATCTGTATGCTGGAATATCCAGATTGTCTGTTTTTTCTGCAAAATAGTTATTTTACACATAATAAACACGTTTCAAGAGTCAATATCCAATTGACAAAAGTGCCAGATAAAACAAAACACACCGTAGCATGTGAAAAGTCATTATTATAGGTAAGACTGTACTTTTTAAAGCATATGAGTCGAGATAAAGTACAGTATTTTCTGTGTTAAAACAAAAAACATCATGTTTTGGGGGTAATCACTACGATATTTGGCTCGGATGTCAGTAAAAGTACGTATTCGAAACGGCTTTGGGGTCAAATAAGATCAATTGTATTTTACCTAGAGAAAATATGTGGCAAGTATCTATTTATGTTCGGGTACACGTGGAAAGGAGTATTCCTCCAAGCCTGGTGGAAAATGGGGGAGAGTCAAGTGAAATAATATACATGTAAAAACGGGAAGAATAAGAAGTGTCGAACGTGTATTGTGGAAAAAATGAAACAGTAGAACATGTTATATTAGAATGTAATAAATATGAAAGAGAGAGAAGATATATGAGGAAAGAGTTTAAACGTATTAAATAAAAGATTAATTTATTAGATATTTTGAGGAAGCATTTGGGGAGTAAACATATACAA